AATCCCTTCTCCTCCATTCTCCTCTCAGGATCTTGGGCATGTGCACACATGCCCGACGTGAGTTTTAAGCCACCGGGTCCGGGACGCGAACCATGGTCGACTACGTGGGAGTCCAGCAACATAGCCATTATGCTAACTGCTGGTTCCCTTTTTTTATTTTTTAAGATAAAGTATTTTCTTGGCTCTCAGATCCTCCTTTCTCTTGCTAATTCTCATCTTACCCTTCCTCCCATCTAGGAGAGGAAAAAGTGCAGGTCTCAGAGAAGACTCCACCACTGGGGACTATTGTTAGGGTTTTCACTTTTTTAATTTTTTAAAAAAGATTTTTTTTTTCTATTTCTCTGTTTTCTTTCCCTTTTTCTTTTACCTTCACCATTTTGTTCTTCGCTGCTCAGGCTCTACACGTTGGTGTCTAGACAGGTATAAGTTAACTGTAACCAAACATCTGAATACAATTAGGGTCAGAATATTCCTCAATTCCTACTGAATATGCTGCACAAAGGGAGAAAAATGGAATGGCAATGAGATTGCAGATCACTTCCTCCTGCACACCTCTGAACACTCAGATTGAACTTCAAGATATTAAAAAGAAACATATAAGCCATCAGATGACCAGAAATCATTGCAGAGGCACAAGAAATATGAGAAACCAAGAAAATACTTCTTCCCCAAGGGAAAAGAATAACTCCTCTTCGTACACAGACAGTACAATGGTACTCACAGAAATATCTGATAAAGAATTTGGAATATTCACCATGGAAAAGCTAACAGAGATGTAAGAGAAAAGAGACAATGAACTCCAGAAGATGCAGGAGAAAAGAGCCAACAAGTTCCAGAAAGTGAGGAAGTTCTTGCATGATCTGAAAGAGGAAATCCACACCATAAAAAAGAATCAAATGGGGACCAGCAGTTAGCATAATGGCTATGTTACTGGACTCCCATGTAGTCGACCGCGGTTCAAGTCCCAGACCCAGTGGCTTAAAGTCATGTCAGGTAGATGTGCATGTGTGCCCAAGATCCCAAGAGGAGAATGGAGGACAAGGGATTGCGACGTGGCCATCCCCCTGGGGGGTGATTTCTCGCTTTCTGTCTCTCTATCTCTCTCTGTCTTTCTGGCGAGCACACACACACACACTATAGCAAAAACATCTTCAAAAAAAAAAAAGAATCAAATAGAACTGATAGAGATGAAGGCTATAATATAGGAAATCAAAACCTTCCTTGAAAGCATTGAAAGCAGACTAGATTTTATAGAAGACTGAATCTCAGATGTAGAAGACAGAATTGCTGGCCTAGAAAAATCCACCACAAAGATTGAAAAAATAACCAAAAAAATTTAGAATAATATAGAAGAAATACTAGATATTATTAAACGTCCAAACATCTAGATAATCAGTATCCCAGATGATGAAGAGACTAATGGGAACCAGCAGTTAGCGTAATGGCTATGTCGCTGGACTCCCACGTAGTCGACTGCGGTTCGTGTCCCGGACCTGGTGGCTTAAACTCACGCCGGGCGCGTGTGCGTGCGTGCCCAAGATCCCAAGAGAGAATGGAGGAGAAGGGATTGCGGGCATGGCCATCCCCTCTGGGGGGTGATTTCTCGCTTTCTATCTCTGTCTCTCTCTGTCTGTCTGGTGAGCGCATGAGCCCTATAGCGAAAACCTCTCCAAAAAAAAAAAAAAAGAGACTAATGAGGCCATTGATAATCTCCCATGAATCCTGGAAGAAAACTTTCCAAACTAGAGAGACAGTCAAAGATCCAAACCCAAGAAATACAACGGACTCCAAATAGAATCAACCCAAGAAGCTCTCCAAGACTCATTATAGCCAGATTGCCCAAAACCACAGAAAGAAATGTCAAGTTACCTACAAAGGGTATCCCATCAGGCTAAGAGTAGACCTCTCACTGGAAGCAATGCGAGCAAGAAAAGAATGGGAAAACATATTCAAAATGTTGAGTGAAAAATGATTTCAACCAAGAATACTATACCCGGCAAGATTATCTCTCATATGGGAAGAAAAGCCCGAAACATTCTCAGATAAACAAAACCTGAAAGAATTTACTGACACCAGACTAGCTCTCCAAGAAATTCTGAAGAGAGTGCTATATCAGGGAAACTAAATACAGATACACAGAAATAAGTGTTCAGAAACAACTAAAAAAATAACCAGCCTAATGGTAGGAACAAATCTTGAGTTGAATGTTATCTTCCAGAATTTAAGTGGAAAGATCGAACCACAACAGAAGAAAGATTAAGTACATGAGACTGAACTGGTGAAATAGAATTTTATGACTTCTGACTAAAACATGATTTTTTTCTATGCTTTGTTTTCCAGATTTACAGATTGTCTTCTCTTGAACTGCCAACAGGTTCATGTATCTACTATTTGAGCAAAATCTTAACCTGTTCCCTAGCTTTAAGTCTTAAGTAAAGTACTCTTAACATTTTTTAAATTTTGATTTATTAAAGCTAAAACTGCCTTTCTTGAAATTAAAAATCTATTAAAAAATACCTTTTAATGGGACCAGCAGTTGGCATAATGGCTATGGCACTGAACTCCCGTGTAGTACACCATGGTTCGGGTCCTGGACCTGGTGGCTTAGACTCATGCAGGGCGCGTGTGCATGCATGCCCAAGATCCCGAGAGGAGAATGGAGGAGAAGGGATTGCGGCATGGCCATCCCACGTGGGGGTTGATTTCTCACTTTCTGTCTCTCTGTCTCTCTGTCTCTCTCTGGCGAGCACACGCATTCTGTAACAAAAACCTCAAAAAACAAAAAAATACCTTTTAAATGACCACAGTAAGCTATGTAGCCTCAGTCAGGTGCTATCTTACAGTGTATTCATTCTACTCACTGAGTTTCATGCCTAAAGTCATATTTGTGTTCACAGATATGTATATATCAGCTGAAGTTGCTATTGAAGGTAGTTAGATTAATTAAGATATTTTGTAAATCAATAAAATGTCAGGGGGGGAGAGGAATAAAAAGCATCTGTAGATACCAGAGACAGTGTGGTAGGACGGTAGGAAATGGCAGAGGGTGAGAAACAGGGGGAAAACAAACAAACAAATATATATATATATATACATACATATATATGTATGTAAGTATATATATTGGATGAGAAATCGCATTTTGTACACTGTGATGATGTTCAGTGAATGAATGTAAAATAAATAAATTTAACTTAAAAAAGTAGATGCCAAATTGACTGTGAAGCAGGATGATAGCATGATGTGTGGGAGCATTCATAAAGAAAGAGAAATAGATGGATGTAGATTAGAAACAGATTCAGGATTGGACAGGAATAAGGCTGGGAAGGAATATGTTCTTTCTGAGTCATGAGGTAGAACTGTCCAGAAGAAGGTAGTATCTGGATCTAGCAGAAAATTTGACGTAGATGAAGATAGGGAGACAGCAGTATTAGAGAGAGACTAAAGCTATGAACGTGATTAAGATGACCCAGGAGGGCCAGCAGATGGCATAGTGGTTATGTCACTGGCTTCTCACATGGTCGACCACAGTTTGAGTCCTTGACCTGGTGGCTTAAAATTCATGCTGGGTGGATGTGTGTGCATGCCTAAAATCATGAGTGAAGAATGGAGGATAAGGGATTGTGGTGTAGCCATGCCACCCTGGGGTGGGTTGGGGGGATTTCTCACTTTCTGTCTCCTTGTTTCTCTCTATCTCTCTGGTGAGTACACATGCCAAATAGTAAAAATCTCTCAGGAAAAAAAAAATGACCCAGGAAAAATGTGGAATTAAAAGATTATATTTTCTTTCTTTTTTTGGAGAGGTTTTTGCTATAGGGCACGTGCACTTGCCAGAGAGACAGAGAGAAAGAAAGCGAGAAATCACCCCCTAGGGGGGATGGCCACGCCGCAATCCCTTCTCCATTCTCCTCTAGGGATCTTGGGCACGCACGCACACGTGCCCAGCGTGAGTTTAAGCCACCTGGTCCAGTATTCGAACCTCAGTCGACTATATGGGAGTTCAGTGACATAGCCATTATGCTAACTGCTGGTCCCAAAAGATAATATTTTCTATTAATATATTAATATTTTGCTTTCTAAATTGATATCATCTGATAATCCCTCTTACTTAAGTTTATTTTATCCCTTTTAATCATAGTAACTTTCTTATATAAGTCATCTTAAATAAAGTAGACCACTAATTATAAAAATCAAAATGAGGCCTTTTCAAAAACCCAAAACTCTGAGAGTTGGGGACAGACAATGGCACAGTGGTAAAACATGATGCTCTATAAGTCTGACCCACATGGGAAGGTTTGGGGTTTATGTCTGGAGACCTCCCTGAGTACACCAGCCACATGTGTGTTCATGATTTAGGGCTGAATAAGGCTGGGAGTAGATTGTGGCATCAAGATCCCGTTGGGATAGCACTTTCTCTCTCTCTCTCTTTCTTTCTCTCCATCTCTCTTACTCACAGAGGAAAATTTCAAAAGCTGAGTATAACTATTTTTTAAAGAATTATTTATTTTATTTGTTATTATTATTTATATTTGACCATAGGAGAGAGAAAGGAAACATTAGAAAGCAAACTGCCAGGTCCAGGACTTGAACCACAGTTGACCATGTGGGATTCCAGCACATTAACCACTATGCCATCTGAGTATAACTATTTTAATAGTACAGCGTCTTTTACAGGAGCTTTTTTCTCCTTATCTGTAGCTTCTTTTAAAATATAATTTATCATTTTCATAGGTAACTTGACTTCATTTTTAGAACATCATGATCTCATTTTTTAATACTATGAATAGTGAGAAGAAGATGTATAAGCTCCATTCTTTGAAACATTGGATAATTTCCTCTTGTTCTTTAATAATTTTGTATATGAATAATTAACTCTGCAGATACTTGGGTAGGGTACAGTGAGAAGATTAAAGCATGCCTTGTCTGTTTCAGTCTTCTTAAATGTGATGTTTTCCTCCCAATGAAAATTTGCACATGATAGTGTACTTGGGATTTTGCAGGTGTTCATCACTAATGGGTACTTAAGTGACGTTGTGATAGTAGTTGCAGTAACAAATCGTGAAGTTCGCTCCCCTGCCCATGGCATTAGCCTTTTTCTGGTGGAAAATGGAATGAAAGGATTTACCAAGGGACAAAAACTACATAAAATGGGATTAAAAGCTCAGGTAACGTGTAATATGCTTCCTATATAAATAAATAAAACTAAAAAAAAATAAAATAAAAACACGCTCAGGCAATAACTAAGTTTACCATCAATCAGACTGAAGACTTACATAAAGAACCACACATGGCATAACCATACCTTCTTATGCTGAATTTCTAAAAAAAAAGTATTTTGGAAATGTAATGGAGATTTATTCTCATTTATGCCATTGAATCTCTAATGGTCAGTGATGAAAGTGAATCAGAGTATTTTGATTATCTGCTTTAGAAATGGCACCATTAACTTCCGGGTAATGAGCCATCTATTTGTGGCACTGAGTGAAGAAAACTATGGAATACAGAAAATAGTTTTCCTGTGCATTACAAAAACTATATTTTGCTGAATATGCATTAGAAAAGCTTAGTTTCTCTTATCTAGGGAACTGGACAATATTTAAATAGAATGACAGTACATCACAGTGGACAAGTCACAGGTTTTGGCATCAGTTGGACCTGGATTTGAGTCCCTCGTTTACCACTGGCTAGTTGTGTTTCTTAACAACTCCATGTTAGCTTGCAATTTGTTTTCTGCTTTTTTTCCCCTCAAATGAAAGCAATAGTGGTCATCTTGTTGGTTATTGGGAGATTTAAATGAGATAATTCTCTATTTAATTGTATGCTCTTTTAGGATACTGCAGAACTGTTCTTTGAAGATGTACGTTTGCCAGCCAGTGCCTTACTTGGAAAAGAGAATAAAGGTTTCTATTATCTCATGCAAGAGCTTCCACAGGTCAGAATGTCACCTGAAACATTTGGCAGTTTTTAAATAAGAACTGTGAATCAAAGGGGAAAAAAAATCTGAAAAGTTTTAGCCACAGAGAGTCAGTCTCCACATCTGTATTTTTGGAGTGTGGTTGCTGAGTAATCATTGAGCATCTAGTGCCAGTGTAAGGGAGGTCCACAGTCTGGTGGCTGCCATAGCTTGGGCTAAACATAAAATGAGAAACAAGAGCTAAGAACATGGGCAGTTAAATGCAATAGAAATCACCAGCATTGTGGAACTAAACAACTAAGACTACTTTTGCACTAATAGGTAGAATTTTTTTTTTAATTCAGAATGTGTTTATTGGGATGGCCCACCACTCTTCTTGAGTCAGGATGCTTTTAGTGCTACTTCCTCCTGAAGGAACATCCTTCTGTAAGCTTCACTTTTCCTCCTGTAGGTTGGCAGAGGACAGTGGAGCAGCCAATGCATAAAACTACCATTTGTGCCTGGCTAAAGGCTATGGTGATCTTATGGCATCCCAGGCACTTCACATCCATGAAGTAGGAATTTGGGCTCTGCACCAGGTGCTTCTTGTTTCCCCTTGTCCTCTTCTGGAGAGGGAAGAGGAGGTCCTTTGCAAGAGGCATGCTCTCGTGAGGAGGTCATCACCACTGGAAAGGCTAATAGAGAGAATTTAATCTGTGCACTTCAAGATGTTAATTTTTACAGATATATAAAGTTTTACAGTGCACAAAGATCAAGAAGTAAAAATCAATAATTATAGGATTTCTTTACTCATGTGTGAGTCAAGAGAAGAGGAAATTAAATAAATTACATTTATTGCACAAACACACTCATAGATAGATAGATAGATAGATAGATAGATAGATAGATAGATAGATAGATGTAAAATAAAGACAGTCCCTCATAAACATAAAAGATTTTATATAAAGAGCTATTCTTGCAGATAGGTCAAAATAATGTATAAATCTCTGTGGGTGCTTTTTCTGATAGAGTTAAAAAATAAATGAATTTTTAGGAGTTTATTATAAAGATTATTTATAGAGTTTGTAAGAACTGAAATTGTCTGAAAACTACCTATATAATTGGAACAATGTTAAGACCTAATTTTTGGTTTATAGGAAAGGCTGATAATTGCTGATTGGGCAGTTTCATCCAGTGAATTCATGTTTGAAGAAACTAGAAACTATGTGAAACAAAGAAAAGCTTTTGGGAAAACAGTTGCAAACTTGCAGGTAAGGTTGTTGTTCTAGTTTGGTATTAAAAGGTGTCAATTTTTTTATCTGAAACAATTTTAGAGTAAACACAAATTTGGAGTAATTTCATATAAAGTGGTATTAGACATCATGGGAATGAATTAGATCACTAAAGGATAGAGAATGCAGAACACAACAAGAAGATTGCAAGAACAGAGTCTAAGCGAAACGACATGATTTATAGGAAAGAAAAAGCCCGCAAAGATGACTGAGAATAAAAGCCAGAAAGGAGAAAACAAAATGAGTCTTGTCACAGAAGACAAAAGGAAGAGGATTTTAAGTAGGAGAGAGTGGGACCAGATGCTATTTACAAGAAAAATAAGATGAAGGTTAAAGAGGCTCATTGGCTCTAACAATGTGGAAGGTAATAAGAGCCATTCATGAGGTGAGAGGGTATCTGACTGGAGTGAGCAGAGGAGAATACAGAAATGAAAAAGTAAAGATGCTGGTGGCAGGCAGCCCTTTCCTGAGGCTGGCTGAAAATGGTAGTTAAGAAAGGATGGTAACAGAGAAGAGGAAGGGGAAATGGGGGAGAGGGTTGGGACTCAAATTAGGATAGGAATTCTGGAGCATGCTTTAATGCTCAAAGTATTTAGAGACTATCGTAGATCTAGAGGGAATAATCAACTGCATAGGGTCTTTGACAAAGCTTGAAGGTAGGGTTTCTGATTCATATGAAGAGACAGGTCTTCCCACCTCACCAGATGAGGGAAGAGCTTCCTCCATTTTAACAGGAGGAAAAGAGAAGGGAGGGTACGGGTTCAGTCAGATACATAGCTCTGTTACTAGTAAAATGCAAAAATAAAAAAATTTTGTTTGTTTGTTTGTTAGTCTCGTTTTTTGCTTTTCCCAGAAGTCTTCTATTTTCCTAAGTAACAACAGGGAAAGTTAGTTGTTCAAAGAGAGATGAGTGAAGGAGGAATGGAGGTGTCCAAGGAGAGTGAGGAAGGCTGGAAATATTGTAAGAGTAGGAGGCGGAGGCAGAAGTAACTAGAGAAACAAAGCACGCCTGTTGACAGTTTATGAGGACCACTGTGATCATGGATTTATAGCGATATGTTCTGTGTTTTTTGTATGTCAGTTTACTAGAATGGTTAACTGCTCAGGACTAAATACAGAGAAAGCTAATGATTGTGTTTATTCCTGGAGTTAGAATTCTACTGAAAGAAATTTAGGTAGGATGACTTTGACTGAAAGTTTTATGAAGGGAAACGTAGAGATGAGACACTTTGGTAGCTTTTCAGGACCAGAAATTAATGTTCAGGTGTGATTTAAGTACTAGCACAGCTACTTGAATCCCTGTAGTCTGGGCAAGTTGTATTCGTTCAGAAATATTTTCCTGTTTGAAAGATTTGTAAGTTCACTTGACTCGTGAAATCATAATACTTTTAAATTGAAAAAAATCTTACCATTTATACAACTTATTCAGAGATAGAAATATTTTCCAGTTAGACCGGTAGGTGGCATGGTGGTTAAGGCACTGGACTCCCACATGGTTGACCACAGTTTGAGTCCCGGACCTGGTGGCCTGTTTTCTCACTTTACCTTTCTATTTCTTTCTTTCTCTCTCTCTTTGTGATCAAGTTAAAATAATAATAATAGTAACAACAAATAAATTAAATAAATAATTCTTTAAAAAGTAAATATTTTCCAGTTATGAATAATATCAGTAGATACTTCATAAGATTTTGTGAGGATTACATTACATAATACACATAAAGTGTTTAGAATATTGCCTGGCAAATATGCCTCCATTAAAGTTAGTTGTTACTCGGGAACCAGCAGTTAGTGTAATGGCTATGTCGCTGGACTCCCACGTAGTCGACCGCAGTTTGTGTCCCGGACCCGGTGGCTTAAAACGCACGCCGGGCACGTGTGCGTGCGTGCCCAGGATCCCGAGAGGAGAATGGAGGAGAAGGGATTGCGGCATGACCATCCCCCCTGGGGAGTGATTTCTCACTTTCTGTCTCTATGTCTCTCTCTGTCTGGCGAGCGCATGCGCCCTATAGCAAAAAACCTCTCCAAAAAAATTTTAGAAAAACAGTTAGTTGTTACTATTTTTCCCTTACTTAATACTTTGCTCCATTTTGCTCCAAAAAAAAAAAAAAAGGGACCATTTTATTAACTTCTTCACCTCATTTCCTATCTGAATCTTTTGTCTGTTGTGTTGGGAACTATTTGCTACTTACATGGTCATCAAGATAACTGTTTTACATCTGAAAAAAAATCTTTACGTCCTAACTTCCTTATTGACATACCAACCTAAAACAGTTTAGATCCATAAAAATGAGGCACAAATTCAGTCAAGAAACATTTTAAAAGCCAGAATCAAGGACAGCAGGTGGCATGGTTAAGGTGCTGGTCTCCCACATGGTTGACCATGGTTCAAGTCCTAGACCTGTTGGCTTGCTTTCTTACTTTCCCTTTCTCTTGTTCTCTGTCTCTCTTTGGTGAGCTCATGGGCCATACAGCAAATTTTTAAACTAATATAATAAATAAAATAAATAGGTAACTATGTTTAAAGAAAACCAGTACAACTTGGAGCCAGTAGATGTACATCACATCAGTTGTGTGTACATGCATGCCAAAAATCCCAAGAGGAGAATGGAAGAGAAGGGATTACAGCATGGCCATCCTCCCTGGGGGGTGATTTTTCACTTTCCCTCTTTCTGTCTCTTTCTGTCTCTGTCCAGCAAGTGCATGTGCCCTATGACCAAACCTTAAAAAAAAAAAAAAAAAAAAATAAAGATGACTTGCTAAATTGTGTGATTTTTGTTTGTTTTTTTTTTTTGTTTGTTTGGGGGTTTTTTTGGAGAGGTTTTCGCTATAGGGCGCATGCGCTCACCAGACAGACAGAGAGAGACATAGAGACAGAAAGCGAGAAATCACCCCCCAGGGGGGATGGTCACGCCGCAATCCCTTCTCCTCCATTCTCCTCTCGGGATCTTGGGCAGGCACGCACACACGCCCGGTGTGAGTTTTAAGCCACCAGGTCCAGGACGCGAACCGCGGTCGACTACGTGGGAGTCCAGCGACATAGCCATTACGCTAACTGCTGGTTCCCAGTTGTGGTTTTCTTATGTGCAAGGACTTTATGGTTTATATTCTCATTTATTTATGGATCACCATTTTACATATATCAGTAGTTATTGATGACTTCCCCTCCTCCCAAGCACTTATAAATGTCAAGGAGAGGGGAGGGTGGCTACACAGCATCTGGAGATCTAACTCAAATTAATACACTAGAGGACAGTGTTTTTCAATGTCCTGTCATTCAAGTTAGCTTTATATTACAACTAATTGTCTCACTTAGAATACTATTAATCCCTCACTGAGAAATATTGACATATGCTATTTATTCCTTTTCTTTTCCTAAGTAAATATGTGTTGAATACCTTTGAAGGATAGTGTGCTTAAATGTAATTTCATAGGTTTGATTTTGGAAATACACATCATTAGGCCATGGCAATATGGAGGAAATAATACCACTTGATATCACTGTAAGACTTTCTCAGCTGTCCCCAAAGTGGAATCAGTATAATCTGCTTCTGAACTCCAAATCCATCACTTTTACATAAAAAATGTCTATTAGGCCCAGCCATAATGCATGAGCTCTGCAAAGCTGGAAGCCATATGGCAACTAGGGGTTTAGATTCCTGGGCAGCCTGAAAACATGTTGGGTGCACGTGGAGAAGCACCCACTGTCCTGAGGAACTTGAGGCCTGGAGAAAATTGCAGCATTGAGACTCTCTCTCTTTCTCTTTCTCTCTGTCTCTCTCTCTTTCTCTCCTCTCATACCTGCATGTGTGCACACAATGCTCTGTAATTTTTTTTAATGTTTATTAAAACAGTCATCACTTTAGTCTTCTTCTGGCTACTATGACAAGTGAAGTAAATGGACACCTTTTTGCATCCTTTACATTTTCTGTGTTTATGGACTTCATTAAATTATAATAAAAATGACTACAGTATTACCCAGATAGCCTGAATGGCTAGAAACACGTGTGAATTGACATCTAGCCATGAAGAAAATAGAAAATTAGCCTATGCTGTTTCTCCATGGAAAAAAAAAAACAGCCCTTTAAAAATATTTATTGATTACATTTCAAGAGCAAAAAGACAAGAAATAGTTTTAATTCTTTCAAAGACAGTGTCATTTTGCTTTCTTTCAGTGGTAGTTCATTAGAATTTCAGTAGGTAGCAGTAGCATTCTGCTTCCACAGGTACATTATTGATACTAAATAGTAGAAATATTTCCCAGTAAGTGTGTGTGCGCTGAGATCTCTGAGATATTTCTTCTAATCTTCCTATTTTATCTAAATAAGTATTTCTGGGGAGCCGGCAGGTGGTGTGGTGGTTAAGGGCGCTGGACTCCCACATGGTCAACCACAGTTCGAGATCCAGACCTGGTGGCTTGCTTTCTCACTTTCCCTCACTCTCACTCTGTCCCTTTCTGATCAAATGAAAATAAATAAATAAAATAACACTTTAAAAAATAATAATAATAACTAAATATTTCTGAATAGTATTTTCATATTTCAATCTAATAATATATTCAGAAAATATTAATGCCTATATCTCCTATTCTAAAGCTGAACATGCTATTGTTCAAGTTATTCTATAGAAATAGGAGACCTTTAAATATTGCCTTAAATGGGACCAAATATCATTTTATGACCATATAAATATTCAGTTTTCCTTCTTTTTATTATCCTGTGTTTTGAGCATTTTGGGCCTTTCTGACCATTTGGATGCATGTTGCAATTTTTGCTTGTTTGTTTTTTAGAATAGAGACCTAGCATACTGAAATATTCATTATTTTCACTGATCAGAAACTTAAAGTAAATGAACCTTTTTTATCCCCCTGTATACTTCACCCAAAGGGGAATGAAGTGAACATGGAATGTTCTTTTCCAATGAGAACCATAGTCATTTCCTGTGTAGTACATGATCTTGACTATAAGGGTACAACAAATTAGGGAAAG